TTAAAATTAAAGAGCAAGCTTTATGTTTGTGTATGACTTATTATGCTATCTTTGTCTAAAAAATAATTGTCATTTTTTTACTTCAAATTTATCCCTAACTTAATTGTGGTTCTTTCAATTTTTAAAATAGATAAATATTTTTTTATTTTAACTGTATCATTATTTATTTACCTTAATTAATCAGCTTATTACAAAAAATCTCTATTTATCATTTTTTGAGGGTACCATATGTAAATATATAAATTGTCCTCAAATTTTAAATTTAAAGAAAAAGAAAAAAAGTGACAATTATCTTAAAATAGAAGAAATGATAATTAAAAAGTATATTATATGCATTTTTAACCTTTTTTTCTAATCATACATATTAGAAAAACTATTAAAAAAAGAGTAAAACCTTGATTCAAGCAATTGATACATTAATTAGATGATGGTTATAAAACAAGAAACAACCTCCACTTCCTTTTAATCTTTTCTTCTCATTCATTTCTAGATTCTAGATTTGAACTCAAAACTTTTAAAATAAAATATCAAGTTTTTAACTAATTGAGGCATCCTAATCGAATAATTTAAACAAGGCTATAATTGTAACAGAGAATAAAAGAGATTTCATTTCCTAATAACATAAGCAAATTTATACAAGAGAAGCCACATGCTTTAGATGTCCAATAAAACTAAAATCAATCAGTAATAAATAGAGAAATCTCATTTATTATACTATATTCTGATTAAAAGAAACACAGGAGAGGAGAAGAGAAAAAAAAATTTTTTATTTGATTATCAAAATAATTGTAGGAGAAAGGAGGGGAAGAAAGTTTTATATATATATAAAGAATAGTGTCTATCCGTTTTATTTCCTAAATATTAGGAAAAAAATCATCTTAAAACCATATTATTTCAATAAATTTCTATTGAAAAAGACATAAATTCTTATTAAAAAACACTAAAATACCATATTTTTAAAATATGAATTATAGTGTTTTTTGTCCTTCCATGTAGTACTTTATTAAAATTATATTGTTTTGAAATAATTTACTTCATAATCTTTAGGAAAAAAAAGTGGATAAGCATTAATCCATATATATTTTTAATTCATTTGTTTATTCAAATAAAAGAAAAGGGAGGGGGAATGAGAGGCTAAAATTTTCCTCGCTGTATTCCTTTCAACCGAAAAATACAGTTAAAGGAAAAATATTCTCAATTTAACTAATTGAAAAATAATTGATAATAGACACCGGTAACTTCAATCATTAAAATCTT